GTTAGACACATCCGCAGGCACACTGAGGAAATTTACTTGAAAGGATATAAATATGAGAAGGTGGGAAATGAAGCTGAAGTTTATTAAAGCAGCCAAGTGTCCTGAATCAGTGGTTCCCAACCCAGGCTGCATTGCAGAATCCCCACAGTGGTTTGCTAAGTTCCCACTCCCCACCTCAGACCCCTCGTGAGCATCTTCAGGGTTAGTGTGGAGCCCGCACGGAGTTGCACTTTCATATCAGCTCCCGGAATAACTCTAAGGGGCAGGCGGGCCTGGGGGCCTCGGGGACCGAAAGCAGCCGGGCTTCTTGCCCCGACCCACAGGGCTAGCTTTCTTAGGTTGGCGCGCAGCTGTCCCTTCATTGGCTGACCTCAGGCATCCGTAACCATCTTGACAGACTTGAAGCAGAAGAGGAGTGTCTGCTCACAGCTCTGCAGAGAAGTTGATCTTATTTCATGGAAATGCAACATTGCAAGGGAACTCTGAAATCATTTTGTTGGTGTCTGGGAACAAAGTGCTAGTAAACGTCTGAAAGTCTACGTAGAGCGCTTCAAGGGAAAGGAAGGAAGTAGGAGGAAAGGGGAAGCACCTGCGTCAGGATTGCGCAAGAAGCCAAGACCAGTTGAGGACCGGACACCGGCTCCTCCAGCCTCCTAATGGGGGCTGCCAGGGCTGTTGAGACCACCTGCAGTCAAGACAGGACCCTGGCTGGAGTCCGGGAACACCTCAAGGACAAAATTCTCTTAAAAATAAATCTGTTATCAGAAGAGTAATATTTTACTCTTTTCACTTGTATAATCTCCTTAAAAATTGCCTTTGCAACATAGCTAGATTGAATACTCTGTGCATTAGTTTGCTAGGGCTGCCATAACCAGGTACCACAAACTGGGTGACTTAACAGAAATTTATTTTCTTACAGTTCTGGAGGCTAGAAGTCTGCAGTCACGATGCTGGCTGGGTTGGTTCTTCCTGAGGGCAGTGAGGGGAGGATCTGTTCCAGACCTGTCTCCCTGAGTTGTCGGTGGCCGCTTCTCCCTGTGTCTGTTCATATTGTCTTCCCTCTGTGGAGTTTGTCCCTGTGTCCAAATTTCCCCTTTTTATAAGGACACCAGTCGGGCTGGATTAGGGCCCACACTAGTGACTGCACCTTAACTAATTGCATCTGCAGAAGGTGACATTCTAACATACTGGGGATTAGGACCTCAACACATGCCGGGGCGGGGGGAGCATAATTCAACTGATAACACTATACAGTTTAGAAAATCAGAGCATGGGACAGTCAGTCAGTGGCACATTTGAGTGGGAGTCATTCATTCGGGCACTCACAGGACCGACATTGAGAGCCTGATATATATCAGTTTTGGTTCACACACCAGCACTGGCTGGCTTGGGAGTATAAATCACTTCACCTCTCTGGGCTTCAGATTCTAGTATGTAAAACAAAGGAATTGTAGTAAATTTTTGGACGCTTTCCTTTTAGACCCAAATTCCAAACAATGACATTTTTAAATGAAGAAAAAATCCAATGACAAATTCGTATACTGTCATTAGGAATCAAGCTCGTACTTCTAATTTCAGGTCTCTAAAGTTTAGTAATACTAAGTATATCAGTCAAGGTTGGCTACGTCCTGTAACAAACAGCCCCCCAATTCCAGTGGCTAAGAACGGTGAGAGCTCCTGGTTAGGCAGCTTTCTTTTAAGGGAAACTCAAGGACTCAGGCTTCTTCTGTCGTGTAGGTCTGACCTCCTCTGGTGTTTAGAGTATTCTCCGTTCAGTTGGCTGATGGGAACAGAGAAGGAAGCATCTAGCTTAGGAGGTTTTTATGGGCCAGGCCTACTTAATGCTTCTGTTCACATTCCGTTGGCCAGAACTCAGTCACGTGACCACAGCTACATGCAGGAGCCTGGGGATTATAGTCTAGCTGGATGCCCAGGAAGAAGAGGTGAACAGGAGCCACTTCTGCCAAACTAGCAAAAGGAAGAGTGATGGCGCAGTTTCAGGAGCTGTAGTGCATCGTGAAAATGTGAATGAGGGAAGATAAGGCCACAGTGTCAAAGTCTAAAGCAAATATTTTCATGTTTTACGTAATGTCTGAAATTTAGAGGAACCAACATCATAAGAACAGTGTCAGGGACTTCCCTGGCGGTCCAGTGGTTAAGACCGCACTTCCACTGCAGTGGGCACGGGTTCAATCCCTGGTCAGGGAACTAAGATCCTGCATGCTGCGTGGCACGGCCAAAGGAAAAAACAAAAAAAGGAAGACACCTTCCCATGGAAACAGAAAGGAATAAACAAGTAAACAGACATGATAGAATGTGATATTTAAAAAAAAAACGAACAGTGTCAGGAACCTCCGTGATACTGAGGGTGTGCACGTTCTCTGCTTTTCCCTGTGTAGTTCCATCGACATTTGGCTTTTCAGTTCCCTAGAAGAGACTCCAGGGTTTGAAGTAGCTCTGGTTCTGTGTCTAAAACACATGGTGTGCACACTTGATTTCAGTAAACAGAGTCCAAAGAGATGTAGTTGCTAGGTTTCTTTGTTTTCACTGTCAGCAAAGCACCAGCCGAAAAATTAGTTGTATTCCCCACTATGTTCTTCCCTTCTTGTAACAAGAAGAAACACATCGGAGTAATCACAGGTTGCAAAATAAATGATGTGCTTGTTACTCAAAACACGGTCCATGGTCCTGCGAATATTGACATCGCCTGGGAGGTTTTTGTATTTTTGTTTTTTAAGAAATGCAGACTCGCAGGCCCCTCCCCAGACCTGCAGAATCAGAAACCGCATTTTAACAAGAGCCCCAGGGCACTTGTATGCACAGTAAAGCTTGAGGAGCTGATCTGGGCGTTAGAGGTGTGGGCAGCAGTGTTTGACTTGCTGGCCTCCTGGCTTCATTTATTTAGGCTTTGTGACAGGTGAGTGCGGTGTTTAAAGTCAGAAGTGAAACAAAAATTTACACTCGTATACCTTTTGTTTGTTTGTTTTGAGTACTTGTCATGGAGGGGGTGGAGTGGAAAGGGGAGAAAATAAGGAAGGGGGTCTCTTCAAAAGCGGTTGGCAAATTCTGCTGTTCGGGCCCAGCCTCCTTCACGCTTTTCCTTTCTACTGTCTTTATGGTCTTTGTGAATATTAAGCCTCAAGAAATCATATACAGCAGAGGCAGCTGTAGACTTCTACATGAAAGAAAAATACAATAGAGAAATTGAACAGTAGACTGCGTGTTAGCAAGAAGGTTCTGTTCCCCAGAAAGTTAGAGGAATCATCTCAGTATCCCTGTTATCCTCAAGGTTGCCTTTAAGTTACAGTCTGTAGCAATGTATTTCAGACGTATTTTACACATGATTTAATTTTGTTCTTTTACTTCATGAATGAGTACAGCCAGAGGCTGAGTCAGGCTGGAGAGCAGCAGCTTCTTGCTGGTTCCGATCCCCACGAAGCCTGCTGCTTTACCTTGGCCTCCCTGGCCTGTCCCCTGACGCTCCACTGAAACCCAGCTTGCGCTTCCCTGAATCTCATGCTGCTTCATTCCACCGTGCCTTTAAGTTATTTTATTATTTTTATTTTATCTCACTGTTACTGAAAGGATTCACTGAGATGACTTCTTCCATTATAATGTTTGAGCCCTCTGAGGGCAGGTATGTGTTTGAATTGGGGTTCTATGAGTTGACGTTGAAATGAGATGAAGGAAGGCTTATCTTTTAAGTAATTTGAAAAGATTTAAGCTTCTCCTTTATTTTTTATTTTATTTAATTTTAAAAATGCAATGGGGTGTGCACTTACTTGCAAATGGGATGTGATGAAACGTAAGGGACATGACTGTGGTGAACCTGAGCTTTCGGAACAGCCAGTCGGAACACGGCCGTGAGCTGTGTGTCCGCCTGTGCGCGGGGAGGCTGCACCGAGCTGTCTGGGGCTCTCATGCGCTTCTCTGACGGTCTTAACCCTCTGCTGTGTGTTCTCCCTGGGATTACGTATCTTTGGGGAAGCAATGTTTGTTTAAACAGGGATTTTAATATGCTGTGGGTAGCTTGGGTTTGATTTGTGGGCTGTGCTTTCAGAGCCTCTTTTCCTTCTATGTAGTTTTCGTGCTTTTCAAGGGCTATTTTCATTGAGTGGATTTCATTTCATTTCTCTGTTTGGGAAGCATCAGTTCACTGAGGGGTTATACCTCACCCTTGAATTATACATTTATTTCTTTAGTGTCCTCTCCTGTGGTTCCTGCTTTTCCTTTATTTTAGTTGTTTCAAGTTGTGCTATTTAATAGTTGTATATTTCCAGCCTTGTATGACGCCATGAGCTCTTTTTTAGAAAGAGAGTATATTAAAAGTCCTCGACAAAACAACAAAGATTCGCGGACTTTTGGCGGACCTGAATCTGTGAGTAGAGAGAATTCAGACCATTCATGCCTTTGACCCGTGCTGTTCTGTATGGTAATCATCAGCCACATGTGACTATTTAGATTTCAATTAATTAAAATTTTAAAAGTTAAGGTTCCCTTCATCAGCCACTGCAGCCACGTTTCAGATGCCCAGCTCTCCCTGTGATTGTGTCTGGTATCAGACTGTGCAGACGTAGACCACTGCATCATCACAGCTGCACGGCTGCAGGGACCTAGGGCAGCCTTTGTAGGAAGTTGTGTTTCAACTCCAGAATTTTATTTTACCCAAAGGAAATAGACTCTTCCATGCTTTTCTAGGATTTGCAGAACAAAGTTACATTGTTCCCAGCCAGAGATAAGCATATTTTCTCCCATTTTCTGTGGGAGTTTGTTCTTTTTTAGAATCTCATCCACAGTAGTATATCTTTAAGACAAGATATGTTCTTATTCTAACCAGAGCCTGAATCTAAGTGTTTGGGGGACTTTGATTTTCAGCAGCTGTTAAGTGAGGCAGTCGAGCCTCCAGGTCACTTACCCAGTCACCAGTGGGACTTTGAGTTATTTTTTCTCTTGTGATTTCTTTCTCAAAGCCGTGAAAGTGGCCTATAGTCAATAGCAGAGTCTTGTTGGTAGCACGTTTCTAAACTCATTTCAGGACTAACTTGTGTCAAGGAATTATTTTCCCATTCTTTTTGGTTGAATGTTCTCTGATTTCAAGTTAGGGAAACAGAATTATACCAGTAAGAAAGCGAACATTCTCTATAACTTCCAGCTCAGTGGTTCAATTTCATATTAAAATGACTCTCCCGTTTGAAATGCCAGTGTGGTTCCACAGGGACCTCCGCCTGCCCTAGAACTTTAAGTCTGTGCCACCGCTCCAAGCATGAGACCACAAGAGGCTCGGTCGAGTCAAACTGGTTGGCAAACAAAGAAGGTGATTGAATGATCCAGGGCAAGTCTCCTGGTCCATACACACAGGCGTCCTGGACATAGTGGCCTGCAAAGGGAACACAGAAACTTAGCTGCCTTTGTTTCCTCATCAGTTTACATCCACGTGGAAAAGTGATGCACTTCTAAGGTCATCTGTAAGGCCTCTCTGCTTCATGCCAGTTCAGATTAAATGGGGTTTCCATGATCGCTTTGACAGGGGCTTTTATGTTGAATTTTGAATTCATGATGGAAGGGAAGCTTTCATTTGTTTGGTTAGTGATTTCTGAAATGTTTAATGGCTACTTTAGGTGAATACTGTAGAATTTTAGCTAGTCATGAGCACGAGGGGGACGTAACAGCCATCATTTGCCAGATAACACCTAAATTCTGATAGCTGCTGTTTTAAGTTCCATGAACTTTTCAACTATTTTCCTCGGTTGTGGGTAGTTCATAAGAGTTGTGTTGGTTTTAATAACCAACACATTGCTTCAACCTTCTATTGCTTCAACCTTCTTTTGGTTTTGCAGAGTGAGTTTGATATAAATAGAAGTAATTAAAATTGGAATTCTAGTTTGGATCCAGTACTGATTGGACTCCTTCGAGGTGAACTCAGTAGCATGTTTTATGTGTCTGACACTGTGCTTGACTCTTTCTACTCTATTTTTTTTTTTTTTTTTTTGCGGTACGCGGGCCTCTCACTGTTGTGGCCTCTCCCGTTGCGGAGCACAGGCCCAGCCGCTCTGCAGCATGTGGGATCCTCCCAGACCGGGGCACGAACCCGTGTCTCCTGCATCGGCAGGCGGACTCTCAACAACTGCGCCACCAGGGAAGCCCCCTCCTACTCTATTTTAATCCTCCCACCAACACTGGGAGGTGGTTTCTGTCATCACCTTCAGTTTGCAGAGGCAGGAGTGCTCAGTTTGCGTGTAAGGGAAGTTTCTGTTCATTTTGGAGACCTTGCTCTTTTCTCTGTTCAGTGCTGCCATGCTCTCTCCCCCCTGCTGATACTGTAATCCTACTTCCAGAAACTTATCTTAAGGAAATATTATTTAAAAGGGTTGGAACTGCATGCATAGAAATGTCCAGTGTTGTTTGTAAGACTGAAAAAAATCAAAACGGATCTTTTCCCTGCTAAGCGTGCATTCGTGTAGTGAAGGGCCTAGAACTGGCCCATGGTAAGCACTGTATGCGTGAAAGCTGTTATCATGATCAGAATCTTTTTAACTGATAGACTCTTGGTGCAGTGTCACAGAATCTCAGTAGTATTACATTTAACCAGTTGAAAGTGTAAATATGAAGATAATATGAAAAGCTTAGGACATAGTGAAAGAGGAATCAACTGCACCTTGATCGTAACTGCATACTCTATAGCTTATGTACGTATGAACTGGAAGGGAACACAAATAAATGGAACTTTGTCAGAATTGCGTTAATGCTGTTTTGGTGATTAAAAATAAACAAATTCTTTGTTGCTGATAGCAATGGGATGGCTCTGCACTGTGTGCAGAGCTGGGCCATATGCTCCCCCAGTGGCGTGGCATCAGGCAGCCGCACCTGGTTTGAGACCCAGCTCTGCTATTGCCTTTGCCACTTCCTGTGCCACGTCCTGTGACTCTGGGAGTGACCTCGCTTCTCTGAGTCTGGGGTTCCTCGTCTGTAAAGTGTGCATAATGATAGTTTCTACCTGCATATCGCTGTGAGCATCGACAGCAGGCCCAGAGCCGGGTTCCAGAAGGGTTTACCACAGACCCTGCAACAGTGCTTGGCCTAAGTCGGGACTGACTGAATGCTGGCCAGGGTTGGCCCTGTACTGCTTTGCTAGTAGAACCATTTGCACAGTGAAGCTAGTGATGGCAAGAACTTTCTGAAGTGTTTACTTGTAGGGAATAATGATTCTCGTTAAGACTCGCAGTGACTAGGTTTTCTTGCAAACATTATTAAAATACTCAGATTTTGCTACTCTGAGAATTTGGAATCACTTTATCATTGACAGCCACAACCCTTCATGACATCTTTTTTTTTTTTTTTTTTTCGGTACTCGGGCCTCTCATTGCTGTGGCCTCTCCCGTTGCGGAGCACAGGCTCCGGACGCGCAGGCTCAGCGGCCATGGCTCACGGGCCCAGCTGCTCCGCGGCATGTGGGATCTTCCCGGACCGGGGCACAAACCCGTGTCCCCTGCATCGGCAGGCGGACTCTCAACCACTGCGCCACCAGGGAAGCCCCATGACATCTTATATACCATTGGTGAATCACTTTTTCAGGAAGAATCTGAGCCTCTCCTTTTCTGAGCATTTATCCGCCAGTCCTGTCAACCCCTGTGAGCCACTTACTGTCTGAAGAAAGGCCAGGGTTGTTTGTTAGTCTGTCGTTTAACTGTTACCTTCTTTCTATGTGACTATCCCCCTAGCTGAATCATATCTACCTTTTAAAAAATACTAGAAAATTATTCCAGTCCTTCTGACCTGGTACCTGTTCAGGAGGATGGCTGTGCACATGGCAGCGGGAATTGTTTGTCTTTGAACTGTTCTGGTATTAGATTTTCCATTTTTTGTTTGTCCACAACCTGTTTCTTTTAGATCAGTCTTTAAATCAGCTTGGAAACTGGGCGAACCTAGTTTATTTTGCATTATCTGATATACTGTATTCAGACCCGAGGACTGTACCCAGATGCCTTGTGAAAATAGGTATGTATCTCTGTAGTAGCTCCCGTGGTGGTTAGGGAGCTGCTTGTAGACAGACAGCGCAGGGCCCAGGTATCCCTGGAGAGCACATGCTCTGCCGGAGCCGCCTTCACACACGGCTTTGCTCCAGTCTTCTCGCGTTCTCTGTCCACCACCAGCTGTGGCCCCAGAGACGTCAAGCACGCTCTGTTTTCCTTCCCCGGAGTACACCAGAGAACTTGCCATCTTTCTGCTGGACTCGTCCGTATCATGCTGCGAATTGTCTGTCATCCATTGTTTCCTCCCTGAGACTGTCTGCTCACCCTGGGGGTTCAGGGGTGCAGAGCGCCGGCCCCAGAGAGGAGGCACGGATAACTTCCCGGGAGCCAAGTTCTAGCTCTTCGACTCCGGAGGTGTTTTCCCCGAACCGATGCACCTGAGAGCTGCTCTGCAGCCAGCTAGTTCTCTTCCAGACTCTTCACAGAATAGAGATGTCCTCTCCTCCACCCCAGATCTGGCTTTTGTGTATTGCCCTGGTCACTAAAACCTCTGGCACACAAGACAAAGGGGCAAAAGAATTCACAGTCCCTCAGGGAGAATCTCCTGAGGGCAAAGCAAAGAGACCTTTTTTCAGCAAGAACTGCGTAAGAAGTATGGGGGCAGCTGGCTGACCCCACCGAGGAGCATATACCTGTGTTACTCAGGTGTCTGTTCTAGTAAAGAGACCCAGGGAGACAGAGAACTCATTTTAAATAAATGTTAGGGTTTGAATTCTAGGAGCAGGTGGGACAAGCCAGATAGCTCATGTGTTTTCATCTTAAAACTTTAAAAGTTGCAGCCCTGTTGTGTGTTCACTTTGTGAAAATTTATCGACTCAAATACTTAGAATTTGTCTACTTCTCTGTCTGGATATTATAATTCAAAGGAAAGTTTTTTAAAAATTGACACCGTGCTAGTTGGATCATCACTAATTCTTCCAGATTGCAGTAAACATGACTGTCAGTCTTCTCCCACTGTTTTCGAGGCAGCAGTTGTACAGTTTTTATAAAGTTTGAAGGCGTTTTGTGGCTTGGGTTTTGTTTTTATTTTTGTTTTGGCCACACTGCGTGGCTCGCAGGATCTCAGTTCCCAGACCAGGTACTGAACCTGGGCCCCGGCAGTGAAAGCCCAGAATCCTAACCACTAGGCCACCAGAGAACCCCCTTGGGTTTTGTTTTTACCTTTGCAGCCATCATGAACAGTTCCCTCCTTGTTTTTCCATTTAATGGCTCGAACATTTCCTTCCCATCCAGTGTTTGGGGTGGAACCTGGAGCATCTAAGGGAAAAGACATGCAGGCATACAGTGAGCAGATGAAGGGAAAGCCCAGCCTCATTCAGAATGCATGTTCTCATCTGATGAAAGGCTAACGCTTCTGGGGGCGGGGTGTGTGCTGCGCCTGTGGTAGTATCAGGGTGGAGCGAGGTCCCGTATTCCGTCTTTGTGCTTAGGTTTCACTTTTCCTCCCTTCCACCATCCCTAGTAACTCACCTAGTATTGACAGAGTGTTATGTTGGGTTTCTTTGGATCGCGTTTTCTCCGCAGCAGCTCTCTGGGGGTGATTTGAAAGGATTTTCAGTGGATGTGAGAGGTTTTAAAAAGCTCCTAGCCCATTTCTGCTGCATTTCATTGTTTGCACTGTCGCCTGGACTGACTGATTCACTTAGCTGTTGAAGCTTGAAGCCACATTCGCAATAAGAGCCAATCAGCTTTATAGAAAGAGCAAATAAGCCCATTTAAAGTAGTGCATCAGATTTCCCTCTACCTCTAAGAAAACCTATCTGAAGTATCATATTAGCCACAAACAAAATTACTAGTTTTAATATTTTCCATTCTTAACGAGCCCCTAGCATGATACCTGGCACTAGTAGGTATCCAGCAGTATCTAATAAGTGAAGGAAGAAAGGAAGAACTTTCCAAAGATCTGTGCTCAGAAGTTTCAAAAGGCTCTATTTGAGGAGATGCACAGTGCTGTACTTCCTTCTGGAGAGGGAGCAAAAGCAGCCAGCCTGCTGTGGGAGCACGGCGCGCTCTCGGCAAACCTCAGATCCCTAAAAGCAAGACCCTCCTGGACTACCCCAGTGGAAGGTCTTACAGAACGCAGAGCTGTTTACCAAGGCAAAGAGCCGAAATAGAAAGAATCTTCAGTTAAGGATACACTTCTCCTGTTGTTGCCCCTGGCCTGAACAGACACTGTTTTTCTGGATTATTCTTACCTTTCAGTCGGTTCAGAGTTACCCAGTAATGTCGCTCTGGGCCGTGGATGTCTTTAGCCCACCGAAGCATGTCTTTTGCGCGGGTGTCTGTTAGTACAAACTCCACAAACTTCCTTGTTAGTACATAGTAAGCACTTCCAAAATAAATTGTTAAGTTATGGGGTGGTTCATCTTTGAATCTTTCATTTGGAGGTACATAGATATCTTCTTCAGGGGTGAATTCGGGATGGCTTTGACTCATCTTGGATTTAATGTTTGGTGGCTGGATTACTCCAGGAGTTATATTTTTATCATTCCATTTGCTTCTGATGTAGTGTATGATTTCTCTGTTAGTTTTGATTGGAAAATCCTGTCCACAAAGATTAATGACATAGTTCCATTGAAATTTGGAATGGACTAGATCTTTCATACAATTAATATCTGCCTGTAGTCTCCTAAAGCCAGTGTAAGCCATTTTCTCTCTCGTTGATGAAATAAAAATATTTTCAAAACAATTAACCAGGGATTGCACAGCAGTCTTATACTTCTTGGGGGCCTTTTCATCAACATGAATACAGTAAACATTTTGAGGCACATAAATGGCTCTGAGAAGCTGCACAAACATAGCCAGCTCCTTATGAATAGTTATAATATATGCCAAAGGGAAGGTGCCCTCTTCTGCAGACAGGGGTCTGGTTATGAAATGCAACTCCTGGGATATCCTGGAACAATTTCCTGGTCTGTGTAAATGAGCAAGTATTTCAGATCCGTGAGGGTTTTTACAGAATTTTGCAATTTGGGGAGCCACCTCTTTCCCTTCAAACAAAGCTGAACACAGTTCATCTGGATAAAAGCCACAGTCCACTACTGCTGGGTAGGTGGGTTCCTCCTCTGGTTCCTCAGGAGTTGGATTCCTTAAATAAAGAAAAATGAAGACGCAAATGGCTACGCACACGAGAAGACCTGGCTTTGTGGCTCGCAGCTGGCTCATGTTTTGAGCTCCAGTCGCCTTCTTATTACCATGGTTTGAAATGTTTTCCTCTAAGCTTCCTAAAAGAGCAACAGGCAGAATTTAGGGTGTTGTTAACTCTATTCCCCCCCGTCCCTGCTAACTCTATTGGTGTACACGTATTTAAGGTGTATGATTTGATCAGTTTTTATATATGTGTATACTCATGAAACTGTCACCACAGTCATGATAACAATCATTTCTTTTACCCCTAAAAGTTTTCTTGGACCTCTTTTACTCCATCCTCCTTCCACCATTGTCTCTGGGCAATCACTCATATGCTCTTGTCACTGTAGACTAGTTGGCATATTCTACAGTTTTATATAAACAAAGTTATACGTGTGTGCTTTTTTGCCTGGATTTTTTTTCACTTAGGATAATGATTTTAAGATTTCATCCACATCACTGCATTTATCACCATTTTTCCCTTTTCATTGTTGAGCAGTATTCCATGAAATGGACGAGCCACAATCTGTTTATCTGTTCATCTGTTGAAGGACACTGAAGTTGCTTCTAGTTTTAGGGTATTACAGGATGCTGTAAGCATTTGTGCACAAGTCTTTGTGTAGACCTTTGTTTTTGTGTCTCTGGGGTAAATACCTAAGAGTGAAATGGCTGGCTCGCATACAGGTATATGTTTAACTTCTTAAGAAATTGCCAGGTTTTTTTCCAAAGTGGGTGTGCCATTTTACATTCCCACCAGCAGTGTATGAGAGTTCCATTTACTGTACATCCTCACCAACACTCGGTATGGTCAATTTAAAAAACTTTACCCAGTCTAATAGGTGCATAGTGGTAATTCATTTTGGTTTAACTTTGCATTTCCCTGATGACTAATTTTCATGTGTTATTGCCCTTTTATTGGCAGATAAAAATCTCAAATATTTATTTTGGACATAGATACTGTCCTGTTCGGCGTTATTCAGAATTTATCTTACGCCATTATTCTGTATCGTGTTATGAGAATATATCTTTCCAATAAAGAAAACAACAAACAAGAGAAATGTTGTGATCACATAATTCAACTTGTTGAAATGAGTTTATGAATTGTTTTTAGAGAAGGCTTCAGTGATTAAGAACAAGATATCTTTATCTAATAAAATTATTTGACAATAATTTAGTTTCCTCTCTTGAACTCTACAGAGATGCATGAAGAAGTATTTTAATTAATTAATTATTGTTGGCATGCAAAGACCATCCTTTGGAATTTAGGGAAGAAAATTGATCAGGTAAAATGTCTATATTGTTAGTAGTTTTTTCCCTTGTTTATGAATTTTGTCTGTAGGTTTCTGTAAAAAGTCACATCATTGCTTGTTCCTACTTCCTATTTTAAAAAATATATTTATTTGTTTTATTTTTGGCTGCGTCGGGTCTTAGGTGTGGCACGAGGGCTCCAGAGTGCATGGGCTCTGTAGTTGTGGTGCGTGGGCTCTCTGTTGTAGCCCTTGTGCTCAGTAGTTGCAGCGTGTGGGCTTAGTTGCCCCACAGCGTGTGAGATCTTAGTTCCCCGACCAGGGATCGAACTCGCGTCACCTGCATTGGAAGGCAGATTCTTAACCCCTGGACTACCAGGGAAGTCCCCCTACTTCCTGTTTTTAAAAACCCTTTTACTTTTTTTTTTTTTTTTTTTTTTTTGGTGGTACGCGGGCCTCTCACTGTTGTGGCCTCTCCTGTTGCGGAGCACAGGCTCCGGACACGCAGGCTCAGCGGCCATGGCTCACGGGCCTAGCCGCTCCGCGGCATGTGGGATCTTCCCGGACCGGGACACGAACCCGTGTCCCCTGCATCGGCAGGCGGACACTCAACCAGGGAAGCCCCCCATTTACTTTTGACCAGTGTTTATCTCAGATTTGACATTAGTCCCTTACCTTTCCACATCATTATTGCAAATGCCATTTGGATAAAGCATTAACAAGGCAGCATTTTGAGTTATCCTGTGTTCTTAAACTATGAGCCCATAAAAACTGTAAACGCTGATTGTGGATTTTAAAAATGTATTTATTTTCATTGTATAGTTTCTTTTTGCCCATCATGCTTCAAAAATAAAACAACCACTGCCCAAATATGTCAGGTTACGTTTTACTCTGGTTCGGTAAATGTTGATTGCCCCCAGCATAAAACGTTATGGCATAATTTTACAGGCATTTTTATAAATTACATAATACCTTTTATAAGCACAGTCATCATTATAATTAACACATTTCATATCTGGTCTCTAAAATAAACACAACATGTATCATAAAAACAGAAATTCAGTTGGACAGAAATACCTTCTTGAAATGAAAATAAAGCTTTTAACTGCTTCTCTGTTAAGAATTTTGGTGAAAGGTAAACCATGTACCATAGTTCGTTACATTTTCTCCTGTGTTTAGCTTTTGCATGGGAAGGGGGTTTGGGGGGTTTTTTGGTTTGTTGTCTTGGTGGTTGTTTTTAAGCTTATGGTCAAAGTGTAAAACATGCTGGTCTCATCACAGAAATGTTAGCCCCACTTAACTGACAGACTATATACCCCATGCAGAGCCCAGGGGATTGGGTATTTTCAGTGTTTTATGATAATTAAGTGAAGACACGTCCCACGTGTAGTCCATTGTCCTTCAGGGCAGTACGTTGGCTAAATGCTTTCCCTCCCTTATTTATAGAGAGACAGGCACAGGAGCTTGCTCACAGTTAATCTGCTGCCTTTCTGCCTCGTGTTCTGTTAGTGCAGTGCTCACAGTTGCCCGGTTAAATCTTCCTTTTGGCTCAGGTTCACTTTGAAATTTAGAAATCGGTGTGGCTAGAATGCCATGTTGTGGGAAGGGTCACCAGCTTTATTTTCATTGTTTCAGTACAAGCTTTTGCAGGTAGTCAGGACAGCCTTGTAATGAAGCCTTTGGAGACTCCACTGCTGCTGAATTTTACATAGTTCTTGCTGTGGCTTTAACCTGCTTCTGGTGGACAGTGTGAAAATTCCCATAGGAATCAACTCTTTAGGGCCTGGCAGTTTTTCCTTTTTAAGTCGCGATGAGCATCACTTTCAGCTTTGCAGACATTTCAGTTCTTGGTGACTTGTTGTCATGGTTTTGTTGCTATAATGTGAAATCAACTTTTGTAGTCATAATGAAACTGTAATTGTTAAACATGTGCCTTTTTATCACTAAATTAATTTCCAAGAAATGTAAGTGATATTTTCCAAGTGAGAGGAACATGCAGCCCATTAAAAAAAAGTGCAGTCTTACTGATTATTGAGCAATTTTTTTCCTCCACAAAATGTTTAAATTTTTATTTATTTTAAAGACTTTAGAAAGAGTGGCAGTTATCATTATATATCATGGAGCAGATACAAAAGTTCTTTATTCAGACCAGACCCATTATTTTACCATTCCAGTGTTCTATTTCCTCATGTACTACTGAAATCACAAATGATTTCTAAAATTATTATTTTGTGTGTGTGAGAGAACATCTTAAGGCTTTTTTCGTATAGTGTCATTCCTTAAATTATCTTTCCTGGCCCTTATATATTTTGATAATCTTTTAGCTCCTCATATCTGCAGCCTTTAGTGAGTAGCATCATTAAAATATGTATAGTGTACAGTAGAATTGAATAGCTTCCAGACAGTGAATAATGTTTTGAAGATTACACGTTCAGTTGACTGAGGACATGTGACATCCAAGGGATTTTGTAGAATATCTTTCAGTAGCAGTAATTACCAAAGTTACGGTTAAGGATGGTATTAAAATTTTTTCCTTTTCGTGGTACTAGAAATCACAGATGATTCCCAGTTACAGTTCTCAGAATGGAATTATTTTACCTCTTATTTAGGTTTTTGTCCAAGCATAAAATATTCCCAAGGAGTTGTTTCAAAATACATTACTATCCTAATTATGAGAGCCGGCAAGCATGTTTTCCTTCTTCTTTTCTGCCTTCTTTATCTGTCTGTAGTGCCCCTCTCCCACCGCCCCTACTGCAGGCCTTAACAGCCAAGAACAGAAGTCAGCAATATGGGTCTGGTACTATGTGTTGCCACTAGAACACTTAAGGGCAGTCATTTTGAATTTGTTATGACGGGATTTAATTTGTTATATAGGCTTTTCAGGGGGAGTTGGCAACATCCTGGATAAATTAATTATTTTGCTAAATCTTTTATACTTTGTGGGGTTTGTTTTTTTTTTTAATTTGGTTGCACCGGGTCTTAGTTGCGGCAGGCAGGCTCCTTAGTTGTGGCTCACCGGCTCCTTAGTTGTGGCGTGTGAACTCTTAGCTGCAGCATGCATGTGGGATCTAGTTCCCTGACCAGGGGTCGAACCCCGGCCCCCTGCATTGGGAGTGCAGAGTCTTAACCACTGCGCCGCCAGGGAAGTCCCTCTGGTTTTTTTTTAAAGGTAATTCCTGTTAGTAAATAGAAAATGGGCATCTTTAAAGATGAACTTGTAATATTTTGCCATATATTCTATAGACTATTACTGTTTTAGAGTATTAACATTAACTTAACCAGATTAAACAATCTAGTCTTTATTTTCTGGACTGCAGATGGGGGTGTATGATAGAACCTGCCTCATGAGGACACTGGGCTAGGGGTGTGGAGTAGATGGCTGAGCGTTTCCCTCTCAGCCTGGCCCGGGGCAGTGCTCAGTGCTTGAGCGGGGTGGGGCTACTCGGTACCCGCCAGTCCCTGAGCAGTGAGACCCTCAGACCAAAGAAGTCACTGTAGCTGCAGCAATGAAAATTTTGTGTCTGTTATTTTTGTCGTCTCTGGGCTCAGAATGATGTCCAGAGCACCCTACAAGTTAACAGTTTTTTCTTGAACTATTTGAACTTTATCATAGTAGTTAGACTGATTTCGAATTCAGACCGTCAGAGCTGTCCAGTAAAATAGATGTCTTAATCACACATGCTTATTCCTAAAATGTGTATACGTTTCTTCAGCCACTTTGATGTGAAGGGGAAAACTACATTTTAGGATATCTATTTAAAACAATCACAACAAAAACAACATTTTTATTAGAGGACTGTTTTTTTGAGAGGAAAAGATGCCTGCTACTTCTGCATTTTATAAAATTACTGATATTCCAATCGTTCTATTTTAAAACCATGGAGGAGGCACAGAAAAACATATTTTAGTAATAAGACCTGCTCAGCCTGTGCCATTCATGATCTCTGCATAGTTAACGAAGCACTTACCGGGAGAGGCTCGCATATGGGGTAGAGGTCCTGGCCGTGTCTGCGCCCAGCCTGGCTTTTTTTTTCCTTCAGTTGCTTCCTTGCTGTGGCTCTGGCTGAAATCACATGAACAGAGTTGCTTGGCGGGTTTTGTTACCCTTTCATCCCTG